CCTCAGAGTGAAGGGTGTGGAGATGAGCAGGCAGCCTTTCTGGCAAGACTCTGCTTTTTACATCTTGCCCCCTTTTGTCTCCAGGAAAAGCAGAAACAGAAAAGCTCTCTTGCTTTAGACACTGACTAGTTGGTAATGGGCCCACCAGATAGGCTGTGTCTGGCCAGAGACTGACCAGGAAGAGATGTGTACTCTGCCAGTCTGAGCTTCTGCTCAGGAAATTCCAGTGGGACTGGACAGCATTTGACTCCTGGGTCCGGTCCACTGGGCTTCATCTACAGAAGAATAACAGCAGTGTTACAAACATCTGGAAGTGAAGGCTGGACCATTACAGCATTCTGATTCTGCCTCAGATGCAGGCAATGTTTACTATTTGGCTGTTAACACACACAGAAGATTCAGCCAAGTCCAGCTAGTGAGGGGAGTAGGCACAAGCTTGCCAGGTGGCAATATTAGTATTTGTTATAGAGCTGTTATAGAGCAGGTCAGGCCAGGTTTTGTGCCCTGTTGGTTATGTCTCAGCAAAGGACCGCATGTATCTGTTTTCAGACCTTGCATGGAATTGTATTGCAGCTGAATCTCTGTGTGGCCTCTTGTAATTCCTATTCCCTTAGTGGACCTGAGTTTTCCCTGCTACAAACGATTGCCCTTGATGCCTCCAAGTCTGCAGCATCCAGTAGGCCAGCTGTACACAAGGAGGGGAAAGGCAAGAGAAGGAAGCTCCTGCCCTACGAAGAGGCAGCAGCCTCCTGATGATGCATTCGTAGACCACAGCACTGATAGCTGGGATCCTGTGCCTGGAAATCACCCTCTGTGCAGTAGTAGTCTGGAGGCTTCCATCCCTGTGAAACAGCTGGACCACTGGACACGTGCAGGAGCTCTGCCAGTGCCCAGCTTCTCCACACAAAGTGCTGATGCTGAGTGTGGCTTCAACAGAGCGTGTGCATGCAGGGTAGGAACTGAAACTGCATGTGTCTCACCAACTGTCACTCTCTGGGACCTAGAGGACACCATGGCCATACTCTAGGAAAGGATATTCTGTAGAGGACAGGCCTGAGTAGAAGGGGCTTTGCATGCTGCTGTCTCTGCAAAGCATAGACTTCATCCCTGTGTGCTGACAGGCCGCTGCCCGTTTTACAGATGGCACCTTCTGAAGGCACTGTGACACAGATAGGGCTCCTCTCCCAAGACATCCATCGCCTCACGGTAGGATTCCAATCCCCTTCCTTGCAGCATGGCTAGTGAAGCCCAGTAAGCTTGGTGTGGTAGTCACAGTCACAGGACAGAAAAGGATGGTGCTTGATAGTGGGTCAGAGTCTGAGCCAGCCCCTGAGGCACACAGCAGCTCAAAGACCTCCTCCACTGGCCTGTTGCTGGGCGCTGAGCCACCACAGGCTCCACAGGCCTTTCATCGGAGTCAGCCTGAACATACATACATTAGGTGCTGGATCCTTTCCCTGGCCTTAGATCTGGCAATGCTAAGATGGTGCCTAAGAAGTTCTGGGTCTACTGTCCAGCTAGATCAAAGCCCTGGATCACTTACAGCCCAGTGAATTCTCTCCTGTCTTCTTGGCACAGGAGAAACATGTAGTTCTACCACTCCTATGAATATGTTCTGCAAGCTAGGAGGGCCTGCCATGCCCAGGAATACAAATCAGTCCTTGGGGAGGCCGCTTGACCTCAAGGAAAGAAGAATAAGGGTTTTTTTTTGGGGGGGGGGTAAGAATGGTTTAAGTCCTTTACCTTTTACTAGCTCTAGGAGCATAGGTGTGCCATTGTCCCTCTGAAACTGGCTTTAGTTAGCTATAAAGCAGAGCTAATGATAGCCCTCTTATAAATCACACAGGAAGGCCAGAGGTAGCAAGAAATGGCCACCCATGACCATTTAGAAAACCATCTAAATAAAGCAAGATGGAAGACTCTATCATAGCTAAGCAAGACCACATCAGTGCAACAGGCTTTGTCTCTTGGCTCATGCAGGGAAAAGTCTGTAGAATCTTGGTCTGTGATCTCTAACAAACCTTTGGTGGTCTAAGATGAAAGGCTTAGTTGTATCTTGTGTATATATGTGTGCTGGTGGTGGGGATTGAACCTTGGCCATTTTGCAAGCAAAGCAAGTGCTTGTGTACTTGTATACACCAAGCCTCACCCTCACCCTATTTTCATCTTAACATGACTGTCTGTTCAGCACTCAATGCTCAGGCTCCCTGGGATGCCACAACTGTGTAGGTCAGTGATGTTGGATATGGGCAACTTCCAGTGTCCCTCTGCTTCTTGTGAAGATGCTGCAGGGTAGCCTTGGCCTATGAACTGTTAAACTGCCCTATTGGCTATGTTCTTACAGACTCTACTGAGCGAGGACCAACTACTGAATGACTCGCCTGGCTGTCCCTGACACTGATGACTATGGATGACATTCTTCATGACTGAGAGCCCAGAGAGGCACACGTGGGACCTGAGTGTTTGCCTCAGTGGGGAGTTGGCATGGAGCTATCTACAGAACCTAGATGGGACTCTTTGGCGCCCCTCAGATGTAGGTGCTGGCAGGAGTCAAAGCAGAGGGATGAGACAGGTGTCTAGAAGTGTCCTAACTCATGTTCCTCGGTGTTGTCAACGCTTGCTTTTCACTACAACTTTTCTACTTTTTTATACTTTTGTATACATACTGCAGACACTTGAAGTGAGGTGTTAATGCAGAGCAAAGACAATGAGCTGTTAGTTAAAAGCCTCTGCTTGTGGAGGGGGGGGGGTGAAAAAAAATGTCAACTGTTGTAAGCATCCTGCAGTAGCTGGGTGAAGTTGCTGGGAGGCAGGCAATCCTCTGGTGGCTGCTTCATAGAAGCATGCATTTTCGCTTCTGGGATCCTGGCCCTGAGACCCAGGACTTCTCTCTTGATCCTCCAGCAGCGTCCATCCACCTGCATCTGCAGTAAAGTGTTCTCAAGAAACCTAAGGTGACATGACACACTGTCCCTTGCCTGCCTCAAGTAGTTTCTGATCAAATACTTCCCCCTAGTGGACAGTCTTCAAAATTTTTTCTTTTTTTCTTTTTTTTTCTGTCCTGTCTGAAACAAGTCAGTTTTGTTACCTTGATATCTCCAAGGGAGGCACCCACCAAACTCTCATTCCTGGCCATGGCTGTTGTAGTTCCTGCTCTGCTCTTATGATTGTCTACCTGGCCCCTCACCTTCCTAGTTGGCCTCTACCAGACATTCCCCACACCTGTCACCTTGTCACCACTCCGCTTTGAATTCCTCAGTCACAGAATGCCCACCTTTACCATCATCTCAGCAGCCTTTGTGACTCCACTGATAGGTCTTGCTTCACCCCATTTATTCGTTATTCTGGTTCCAAATTAACTCTGCCCTCTCGGCACCGTCTGCCTTTGCCTCTGAGATGGTCACGGTCCACTTTGGGGTTATGTGCCATCCTACCATGCATTCGTGCCCTCCACATAAACCGATGAGCCCCTGTAGTCTGTGTGGGCTAAGTGAGTTCCAGTTGTTGTACTACTTTTGTAGTCTCCTTGGTCATCCCTGAAGATGTCATTAGAATCCCACCTCCCTAGTTAGGGAAGCCAAAATGTCTTTAGGCTTTGTCAAATGTCCCCTAGAGGATGAAACCACCCCTCTCCCAGCTGAGAACCATTAGGCTGGAAGATAAAGTCAGAGCAGAAGGGAGGCCCTGGGAAGGAAGATCCAATAAGGTTGAGGTGAGTCTAGTGGGAAAAGGCTTTGCAGCTGGGCCTGGAGGCACGTGCCTGTAATCCTAGCTTCTGATAGTTGGGAGGCTGAGGCAGGAGGACTATTGGTTCACAGATGATGTGGGCTACAGAGTGAGTTTAGTGCCAAGCGGGGCAATTTAAAGGAAGTGGGCAGAGTGTTTTCCCTGAGTTGGACTTTCCCCAAGGAGACACCAAGCACTAGTGCATGGATTGAAGTGGGAGCGTCCCTCCCAAGCCTGTTCTGAGACTGTGCTTGGCCCCCTGTGTGTGACATTCAAGGGTACAGCAGAGCTCCCAGAGCAACATCCCTCTCTTTTTCTTTTGTGTACCCACCTCACATTTGCCCATTGAGCAACCAACCCACCAGTGAGCTATAATATGGCTGCTACTGTGCTAGTTTTTAAGAAAGGAGAACAGACTTAGAATTAAACAGACCCAGGCTTAAAGGCAACTCTGCTACCGTCTGTCTGAATGACTTGACTTGGGAACTTGTAACTACTGTGTCTGTTTCCTCCTGTGTGACTTAGACAAAAGCTCCACAGACTCTCTGGCCTGTTAGGAATGATATATGAAAAGAAGTTGGAATGGACTTATGCACAGAGGCAGCAGAGCAGCAGTGTGTCACTCTTGCCCTGAACAGCAGGTGGCCCTGTATCATGTAGGTTGAATGATGGGATTTGAGACACAGCTGCTGGAAATGGTCAGTTGTCTAACCATGCCTTCTTTGGCCCAGTGCCAAGGTGGATCCTGTGTCCTAGAGGATGCTAAAATACAAGTATTTCTCCATGTCGCCATCTGCTGTACAAAATGCAGGGAGTAAGGAAGGGATTCCTAGAATCTACCTACTGTGAATTTATTGTCCTCACATATGAGTTTTTAATCCTGTTATGTCTCAGAGTGTCTCACATGGGAAGGAAGAACACACACACAAGCCTTTTCCCTCTGTGAGTCTGGCCTTCAAAGTGGAGAAATGTAAAGAATGTTCATGAGTGGTTAGTGGGAGTTGATGGAACCCTGTTTGGATCCTGCTGGCATTTTATCCAGGCATGTTATGGCTGCCCAGTGTATTCCCTGTGTTTCCATACACTGAGCTAAATTCATAGCAGTCTGGTTTATTACACTAAGCCAGGGAGAAAGAAGCCTCATTCCCAGCCTCCAAGCCTTGAAGTTCAAATACCACCTTGTCTTCTGTCCTTTGAACTCTTCTCAGGCCCACACCCAGGAGAACATCACCTTGCCAAAGGGTACGTGGAGAGGTACTTTGCAAACAGAGTGAAGTCAAACCCACTCTGAAACAGGGAGTGAGCTGCCAAGGAGCATGGGATGTGTTAATAGGTAAAAATCATGTCCTTGGTATAGCCAAGCTGCTCCAGGCTGGGGTGAACTGCCTCCTGGATCATAGGTGGTGGACCACACACCAGGATGAGTGTGTCCTCCCCAGGGGGAGGGAGGTGCTCCTTGATCATGTCAGCAGTAACAAATCCCGAGCTGTACTTCCAGCCTGAAGTGAAGCAGAGCAGGGAAGAAGTGAGGTTCTGTGTTTGCCCCTAATGGCTGGAGACCAGGCTGCCTTACAAAAACTGAGAATCACACAGATCCAAGAAACTGATATAGCCGGTTCCAGCCATCTGCAGCATTTACTCCAGATTCCAGGCTCTAGCCTTGGAGATGGGTGAGGAGGTCACATTTGTATGGTGGCTTTTTTTGTGGAGTTGGGCAGCACCCTCTTCTGGGCAGCTTGATATATGCCAACACAGGTATAGATCAGGGAAGCAGGCGATGAGCCCTGTATGTACAAGGTAGTGCTAGTAGAGGCTGCAGGAGCTGGCTGAGGCTCAGCATATGAAGGCTGACTGTTATCCAGAAGAGGTTGGTGGTGAGAAGCAGAGTAGCCATGAGCAGGAAAAGAGGGTAAAGGGGCGTTGACCATTTTATGTGCAATGTGCTGATTGTGGAGGGCAGGTGTTTAAGGAGCCTCATGGCTCAGAGTCTACTCAGTGCAATCTGGGGAGTGTGGAGGTATTCAGCAGCTGTCCTTGACTCCCCTTTACAAACTGCTGTTCCTAATCTCCCATCAGAGTCATATATGCCCTATACAGACCAAGAGCCCCAAGGCTTAATCTCTTGAAGTAAATTTGAACACAAAGCAAGCAAACAAAAGCTAGAAACTGGTCTGCAGGTGTGTCAAAAAGCAGAGCTGACTCAGAATAAGAGAGTAACATGGGTCATACCATCAGGAGGCCTGTCCAGGGTATACCACAGGTTGAACTGGTGGAGGTGAGTTGTGGCAATTTCTTCCAGTTCCTTTCTCAGCAAGATGTCCTCTTCTGTCTAGAAAAGAAGCAATGTTCCAAAGGTCCCCCCAGGAACAGTCAGTATGCCCACCTAGATTGAACACTTGGACCTGCACATTCGTACCTCAATTGCCACTGTCCTAGCTTGAGAGCTTGTCAGATTCCAGGGCAGACAATTCCCTGATCCTCCTGCATACTATATTCTATCTCTATCAATACAAAGAGTCGGTGGGGCTGAAGGGTGATGTAGAGGTTCCAACAGCATCTGCCCTCTGGCTGGAAGGGCTGGCCACACAGAGCACTGTCTGCATGCGAAAGTCCCACTCATTTCCCTGAATCCAGAGATCAGGCTTAGCAGGCCCAATGGACACAGACTTGGTGCGGGTTGGCCCAGGGGAGGGTGGTGCTAGTGATAGAAGAATATAGTGGTCCACACTCGCATCTGAGAAAAGGGGGACAAGACTACAAGAAAATACCCAGGCCTGGGCCATCAAACCCTCCATGGTTCTTGTCCCAATAATGCTACTTCTGACATTGTTTCAGAAAATAGAAGTTATCTGGTCAGGTCCAATTACTCATAATTACTTATTGTTTATGACAAAATCTGGGAAGAACCTGGATGAAATTTTAGGAAAACAATGCTTTGGTTCTGGTGTGAATTCAGTTTAAAGTTAGTGAGAAGATGATGTCTATTTGATACTGCTAAGTGAAAAAGTATATATAATATGTAAGAAACATATATATGAATATATCATACATAAATCCACAGCACTCAAAGGGGAAAAGACAAAAGAAAAGTATTCTTCTGAATTTCTCAGAATTTCCATCAAGAACATCCATTATTTAATACTCAGAAAAACAGAACTGGGAATTAAGGTGAAAACTCAGTGTGTAGAGTGGGTCTGCAGGGAAAATGTGAGGGTTAAGAAGAAACAAACAGAACAGGCCTGGCCTCAGCTTCTTCAGCTGTCATCAGACTTCCAGAGCCCACTAAGCCCCCACAGCCCAAAGCACCCATACAGCCTGTCCCCAGACAACCAGAGGGGAATGAATTCATACAGAGTCCCAACTCAGGGAACATTCCATGCTACTGTGGCAAGATCTGCGCTGACTCTGCAGACTGACCTGGTTGGCAAAGAGGAGGGACATCCTGGTCCTATCATTGCTGTTGTTGCTGATGTGGCGAATGAGCTGCAGCATGGGCGTAATGCCTGCAAAACAGTGGGCAGGCCAGCTTGCTCCCATCTCCAGTGCCCTAGTTCCTGGCCTTTAGTAGACTAGCAATTCCATTTGACCCTGATTCTACCATATTCGTTTCTGTCCCCCAAAACCCAAAGTAGGGAAGAACCTTCATTTTGTTGTCCCCTTCTAGTGCATCAGGTCAGGTTGAGATAAGGTTTCACATATCTCAGGCTGGCCACATCTCACTATGTAGACAAGTATTTCCTTGAACTTCTGATCATCTCAAGTACTGGAATTACAGGCATGTGCTACCATGCCTGTTTTATGTGATGCTGGGGAACCCAGGGCCTCATGTGTGCTAGGCAAATATTCTACCAACTGAGCCATATGCTCAGCCCTTGTTTTTATTTTCCTACGGAAGGAGCATTCTGTGAGTTCATGTCCTCACTTCCACCAGAGAATGTGATAGTATTAACCCTGCCCGTGATGGTGCCTAACACCCTTTGTGTCTCCCTGAGGTTCATTCTCAAGGGATTTGGAGACTTAGGCTAGAACTGGATCTCCTACTATGTAGAAACCATTGAGCAAAGCCTGCCCAGCCTGGCCTCATAAGAGAGGCTCCCATGGCTTCTAGGGAGTCACTATGCTGGTTTCAGAGGAAGAGGGTCAGACTGAGTATCTGATGCCACATTCCCACACCACCAGCTGGCCACAGCTGGAGAGTAATTGCTTGCACCACCATTCATCGGTTCAAATCACTCCCAAGTTAGAATGGTCTTAGAGTAACTGGGAAATCTTACCTGTGCCCCCAGCAATCATCCCCAGGTGATGAACCAGTTTTTTTTCAGGCTCACTTGTTTTGACTGTTTTGACTGTAAGGGAACCTAGAAACACAGAGAATGTTTCTGACTTCTGCAGCCCTTGTCTGGCTACCTACAAAAGATTTCTGACTCTCAGGAGGCAAGTCCAGCTAAGGTTATGGCATTCCAAGCCAGAGAATTAGATACAGTAGCTTCACTGGCCACCAGTGTACAGAATAGAAACTGAGGCTAAGCATCCTGTGGGATAGCTTGTTTGTTTTTGTTTTTCAAGACAGGGTTTCTCTGTATTGCTTTGGAGCTTGTCCTGGAACTTGCTCTGTAGACCAGGCTGGCCTTGAACTCACAGAGATCTGCCTGCCTCTGCCTCCCGAGTTCTGGGACTAAAGGCATGTACCACCAACGCCTGGCCTAGCTGGGGCTTTTCTTAAGCAAGCTGAAATGAACTTGGAGCCTTGCAGAACCTCCTCCATGACAATGGTGAATGAGTGAGTAAATGGAGAATCTGGATAAGCCAATCAGTGTGGACTCCCTCCACCATCAGCAGGCACCTTTCATGTTTCTATGCCAGAGACCATTCTAGACGAAGCATACAAGCTTGTGAAATAAATATGAGCAGTGACAGAAGTCATCATAAATGCATTGCCATGAGTGGATGTTTGAAGATTTGAAGTACAAGCCCATGTGTCTCAGAACAGAGGAAGACCACAGTAAGACCACTACAGGAATCTCCCAACTATGAGAGGAATTGCCCAACTGTGAGACCCCACAGAACAGCACCCGGTACCTGGATCATGATAGAACAGGCGCCCTGTTGGCCCTCGAAAAAGAATGGTGTCCCCAATTTTCATGTTCTCTAAGTACTGAGTCATCTTTCCCCCTTCAGGATACTTGGGGTGCACATTTTTGAAGTATATCTGAAAAACAAGCACAGGTCTGTACATTTCCAAGCCTTTGGCTACAGTTGCACACAGCAGGAAAGTACATTTGCATTCAGAAGTCATGCAAGCAAACACGGCCCCACTCACTGTGAACAATTGTTTTGGTTTTGGTTCTGTTCCCACAGTAAAATACCCCAACAAGACAACTTAGGGGGAAAAAAAGGTTTATTTTAGCTTACAGTTCCAGGTTACAGTCCATTGTGCAGGGAAGAAGTCAAGGCAGGAACTTGAAGCAGTTCACCACATCACATCCAACAGAAATGAGTGCATGCAGACCTAATAGTGCTTGGTTCATTCTCTATACTTACACATTCAGGGTCCTCTGCCTACAGAATGGTGTCACCTACATTGGGCTGGGTCTTTCTATATTTCCACAGACAAACCTGGTATAGACAGTCTATCATTGAGACTCTTCTCAGGTGGCTTCTAGATTGTGTCAAGTTGGCAATTAAACTAAACACAGCAATCCCTTGAGACACTACAAATGAGACTATTGGAAAGCACTGTCCAGGCCATAAGTGGAGCCATACCTGAGGACTCCAGATAACTGGTTAAAGTGGACATTATTTACCTTTATAATGAAGTCCACAAAACCTTGATCATTGTCACCAGAGACAGGAGTGTAAGCCCTGATCACCAATTCGTCCTTAATTTGGGCCAAGAGATGGACATAGTTACCTACAAAAAATATATATCAAGTGTTACTAATCAAATAGAACCCAGAAATCCACCAAATATTCACTTTGATAACATCTGCCCAGCTATGATCACACTGTAACTCTGGAGTAAGACATAATTAAAGGTGAGAATGGATACTAAAAAAATAACAAAAAGGAGCCAGGTGTAGTGGTTCATATTTGTAATCCTAACCCTTGGGCATCAGAGACAGGATGGACTTGAGCTCAAAAATAACCTGGGCTTTAAGTTACAGTCCAGCCTAGGCTAAGTGCAAGACCTTGTCTCACAGATCAAAAAAGATTTGTCTTTTCCATTTAAAGAAAACTATAGTTTTCATGAAGTTTTTTCTTCCTAACCCAAAGTCTGGGAGGGATCCACCAGTTTCCCATCTGTGTCTCAGCAGAGAACAGGGCTTAGCCTTATGGTTACTTCAGGGTCCTTAGACCTAGACAGTTCTGTTTCAAATAAAGCAGCAATGTGTGCCATCCTGGCCATTGGTTTTTCTGAGAAGCAACAGGGACATTTATACTGTGTCTTTGCCTGTCCAGAGTAGAATTCTATAGGCCTGGAGGGCCAAAGATTTATGAGTTGAGATTGTAGCCCAATGTCAGATAATGAGCCAGATTCAAGTCTAGGCTTCAGAGACTGGGGTGTGGGGGGTGCATCAAGGGATGCCAAAACCTAGAGACAAAAAGAAATCTCCAGGCCATGTTCAGGTGGAGGAGAAATCAAGTACACCTTGGAAATTAGAAACACAGGTAGACAAGGAAACTTGAGAGACAGAGATGAAGAGAAACCAGAAAGTAAGGAGGGAGAGAGGGGATACTTCAGGGGGTGTTAAGAAGTATTTGTCTGGGTCTTTGAGGAGTCCCTAGAAAATGAGGTGCAAACTTAATAGCCATCACATGATGGGACACCAGGGATACTTGAGAACACAGGCCTGAAGCATCAGCTAACCCGGCACTGAGGACCTGGGGAGCTGTGTCCCCAACCCAGGGGCCCATCTCTAACCATCTTCACTTCAGCTGAACTGTAAGGCTCTGGCAGTTTTCCTGTCAGACTCTTAGAGGCCACTATTGTCACTTTGTCCCACTGACCATACTGCTTCCGCTGGGAGTGAATGGAGGGTAGGTCAGAGAAGCCTCAACAAGTCCTGTTTCTCAAGTGGCTCATGCTTGCCCCTCAAGCAGGATGGTGACAGCTAGAGGAATGGAAGGCCCAGTGACATAGCACTCTCATGTATGGAGGAGTGAAGGACAGCAAGCAGGCTCGGGGCCCCAGCCTTATAATTTCATCACTTGTCAGAACTGAAGTCATGGCTTTCTTTGAAAATAGGTCATCAATCCACTAGGAGGCACGCAGCAAGGCTTCTCTGCCCCACACCTGTCCCTGAGGTTTTCTACCTCAGGAGAGTGGACTCATTGTCTGGAGCTGTTATTGATAAAACTGGAAGTGGGGCAACTCAGAATCTGAGGATGGCAGCTAGGGCTGGTTTCCTTATGGAGGTCTCAGGCCCCCTCAGATAACTGTCCGTTTAGGGCATCTGCTTCACTAGTGACTTCCCACACATTTTGGGCTTTGACTCTAAGGGGATATCTGTTCTTTCATCCATTTATAACACTATGCAGTTTCTGAACTTTCATACCCATCAATCATTTTACCCTTGCTACACCTGAAATAGACTGGCAGGCCTGGGAAATACTATTTTATAAGATGGAAAGTCAGCGAGGTTGATTGAGGCATTGGCCTTAAATTTCATGGGCTTTAGTGAGGCTTTAGTGAGATCTTAGGCCTTCCAACTCTTCAGCGTTCCTCAAGATACTACTTTTGTGACAATCCAAGCGGAACAATGAAGGCACTGTCCTCAAGTCTGTCTTCCTATCTCTCTCTATTCATATGGTCCAGGATTATATCAGTGTATCCTCCACATTCTGTGAGAATGGGAATCCATTGCTAATAGGAACTGAACATCCCAAAGATCCAGACCCAGAAATGTCACCAAAAACTGCTCACCCACAGGGAGCCCTAAGACATGGTCTGGTGAGGGCAGTCCAAAGCGGAACCTTCGGGTGTTGTGGTTGATTTGCTAGTTAAAAAAACAAAATACAAAAACAAAATCAGAAAACAAACAGGTTCTGTTGGCTCTCTAGGAGCTTGGAGTGTGAGCCAGAGACTTAGAAAGGCACTCCATTTGGCCCTGAGGTCACTGCTCACCCCCACCTTCCCAGCTAGCATTCCCACCCCCCTGTCTTCCTCTTTCACATAATCAGGGGAAGGGTTAGGTGAACCACTACCTCCTTCTCAATCAAGGGCAGGGGGTACTTGGCTTCAGGGTCCTGTAAGGTGATGTGATCTTTCTTCTTTAAGCTCATTTTCTTCAGAACAATGAGAATCACAGTGGCCCTGATGACACCAAAGACCAACAGCAGGGAGTAGTCCTAGCAGACATAGTGTGAGTATAGACCTCAGATCTCACCCGTCCCGGAATAGGCAGCTCCGAGCATGGCTGATCTTATGTCTCAAAGGACTAGCAGAGGGAAAGGTATTAACACAGAAGGCTGCCTGTAAAGGCCAGAGGACAGAGAGGTTTAGCTGTAGGTTCAACAGGCCGGGCCCACTGGACAAGGCTTGACAGCTGCCCCAGAGTGGTAGTTTCTTCAGGCCCTTCTTGCCCACCTACCTCCATCCTGGCCACAGCCAAAGATGCAGTGGTTGGGGAGGAGTGACGGCATTAGTTATAACAGGTCGCCTGAGAGAGAACTGTGCTATCCTTGCCAGGTGGTTGTGACTAACAGCAAGTCTAAAGACAGGGCTTACCTCTCCTGAGACTTCCCACTCACTTCCTGATCCGACCCATCAGCTGATGTAGTGGAGGAGTGAGTGACTTAGGTACTCACCAGCACCTTCCAGGGCAGGCAAAGGGGGTAAATAAGCACGTGCCAGAGGTGTGGCTGATCTCCCCACAACAGACCTCAACTCTGCCCCTTTCCCTAACCAGGGCAGGTTGTTCATACCCTGACCTGTTCCAGAAAGATCCGCTGTTGCCCAGTCCTCTGGCCCAGGGTTCCCACCAGTTGGGAAACCGCCCGTGAGTCCTGCTTCAGATATCGCCTGCCGCTGTCTCCAGCCCTGGATTCCTTCCTGCCCCGCGCGCCTTTCTAGGGGAACCCACCAGGAGCGAGAGGCTCAACTTGTCCTCGAGCTGGACAGTGCCTCTTGGTGATCAGGACCGGGAAAACCGAGCAGCGCAGCGGCCAGGGACGCTCTGACTCCGGCCTGGATAGCATCATATTCAGGCTTCTGTGTCATGTGACTCTTGCACTGGTCCAGACCTGAGCCTCCCTGGCTGGTCCTGTGGGGATGGGTGCATACTCGCCTCCAGATTTCCTATTCATGACAGGGATCCCTTTGCATTTTAAGTCTCCGTGTTCATACCAGCAGCCGTGGGGGAAATTAAGCCTCCCCAGCTTGTTCACACCACGGTGAGATGGAGAAAGGGGTTCCTGTAAACTGGTTTACAGGGCAAACTGAGGAAATGGGAGTTACAGCCTAGAGAAAGAGCACTGCAGTGACTGCATGTCTAATTTAACATGTCTCCTGAGCTGCTACCCTGAGCCTCCCAGAACCAAGTGTTCGCAGGGTGGGGCTGGCAGCAGCGTGTCATGCCTGCCCTCTCCGTACTAGAGACTGAACTCAGGGCTTTACACATGCTAAGGTAATGGTGTCTTACATTCTCCGCCCTTTCTTTTTGTTGTTGTTATTTGGTTTGTTTGTATATTTTTGAATTTTGAGACAGACTTTTACTAAATTTCCTAAGTTGACCTTAAACTCATTCTGTAGCCTGGAGAGGTCTTGAATATTTGATCTTCCTGTTTCAACCTCCTAAATAGCTGGGATTTCGGGGAGGTACCCCCAGCCCTGACTTTTATATTTTAAACACTTAAGCTGTTAAAAAATAAAGTTATCTGCCAATGACCTGAGGGCCCAGGAAGGCATCATGGAAGGTGTCACTGTGTGTCCTTACCGCAGCATATTGCTTGGAGTGGAGGGTGATGTGGTGATGTGAGCTGATTTTTCTCACATTCCTACCTTGCATACCAGCTCCTAACACCAACAAAAGTGTCCTCGATGGAGATAACTGAGGTAATGAAGATAATCCAGTGTGCCTGGGGTCTTCACTGAAAGGGGAAATTAGAACCCAGGATCGTGCATAGAGAAGATAGATGATGCAAAAGTTAAGGAGAAGGCCAAAATCTTAAGTTCCCCAACAGGCCTCTGGAAAGTCCTCACCTGACCCATTCCTTGATTTTGGATTCTCAGCGCCTCTGCCTAGACAGTCTGTGGTCCTCTATTATTGTGACCCTAGCTGACAGGGACCTGTTTCTTGGCCTCTGTGGCTTTCTCAGACTGAAATGAGAGTTTACTTTTGCCATTGGCAATAGTGGAAAAGGAAACTAAGATTCTGAAGTGCATTGTGAAGAATCCTCATATCTGGACTTCTTATCCTGTTTTCCATAGAGTCTTGTCCTGTCTCCAACGAGTGAGTGCATGGCACGCTGCTGCCAGCCCCACCCTGCGAACACTTGGTTCTGGGAGGCTCAGGGTAGCAGCTCAGGAGACATGTTAAATTAGACATGCAGTCACTGCAGTGCTTTTCCTTAGGCTGTAACTCCCGTTTCTCCAGTTTGCCCTGTAAACAATATTGCAGCAACCCCTTTCTCCATCTTACTGTGGTGTGAACAAGCTGGGGAGGCTGAATTTTCCCCAGGGCTAGATTTTTACAAGAAGAATCAACTCTTGGTTGAACAGTTCATTCCACAGGAGGTAGTTAAAACAGCTTAAATGTTTTCAGAGTTTATCCAGTTTTAAAAATTGTTAATGCTGAGACTCTCAACCTTTCATAAATCATGGTACAGATGACAGAAAGACGTTTAAGGGATGTCTGAAGTTCTTTGAAATTCTTTCCCAATCCTAACCAAAAATTCATCAGTATTATGAAACTCAACTTGATAACTCAAACAGCATTTTTATTTATTTGGTTTTTCAAGACAGGGTTTCTCTGTGTCAGATTGGCTGTTCTGGAACTAGCTCTGTAGACCAGGCAGGCCTCAAATCCACAGATATCCACCTGCCTCTGCCTCCCGAGTGCTGGGATTAAAGGCACGGGTCACTACCACCCTCAAACAGCAGTTTCATAAAAACAAACCGTGCAACACAATCCCACCCAGGTGGGGAAGTAATAATTTTGTTCTTATAATTGGACATTATATTTTTATAATAGGATGGAATGATGTTTAGTGGTGGATAGTTAAAAAAAGAAAAAGAAAAAGAAAAAAGAAAATACCTTGATTTTCTTCCCTGTGTCTCAGACTGTGGTCAAGAATCCTGGAGCAGGGAGATTGTCCTCTGCTGTCTGGAGAGCCTGAGATGATGAGTCCTTCAGAGAAGACAAGGCAGTGAGTGAAAGGTCAGGGCAGTGAAGATAGCAGAGTGATGAACCTTGGAGATGGAGAATGGAGCCACAGGCTAAGATGTCTAGGTAGTCACTAGAAACTGAAATTCAAGGACATGAAAATTCCTTCTACAACCTTTGGTGAAAGAATGAGCCTTGTTGGCTCCTTGACTTTAGCCTGAGCAACTGTTATGCTTCTAGAGTCCAGAACTGTAAGAGAATAAATTTATGTTGTTTTAAGCCATGGAGTTTATAATAATTTATTGACAGCAATACATTAAAAAATCTATTTTTTTAATCTCTATGGACTTCTTTGTAATCTTTTACATATTTAAAAAGCATTTTTCCTGTATCTCAGAAGTTTCTTCCCCCTTTCCCTAAGGCTTTAATTGCTTCCGTGGCCAACCTCTTTTCTCAAAAGCTGCCTCCTGCCTGGTCACAACCCCAACTCATTGTCTCTGCCAGGCCACAGACATGCTATTTTCCTCTTTTCTATGGCATGAGCTCATCCTTTGTGTATTCTTCTAAAATGTCACTCAGGACAAAGAATGGCAGCAACCACATTTATTTGACTGGAGTGAGCTTTATGAGACACAGGGGAAAGCCTAGACTACTCTAGGCACCAACACTGACCAATGTAGAGTTGGATTTTCCCCTGGTTGCTTCTTTAAGTATTTGGCACTAAAGTATATTGGTGCTGTCTGACTAGAATTCCCCACTGAGCACTGCAGATGGGGATAGAACAGTGGCTGTACTTGAGTTTTTGAAATGTCTTCAACCTAGACACTCATAACAGAAATGTGACTGTGGTAGGCTAGGGGTGCAGCTCAGTTGGTAGAGTGGTGGGCTAGCATGCATGAAGCCCTGGGTTTGATTTCCTGTACCACATAAACCAGGTATGGTGATGCATAGCTGTGGTGTCAGCAAGTGGAGGCAGAGGAATAAGACATTTAAGGTCACTTTAGGTTATGTAACAACTCTGAGGCCAGTCTGGGCCACAGAAGACACTATCTCAAAACAAAAAACAGGGTGGCTATGGAAAACAGCACATTTCTGTGCGACTCCAGAGTTTTGCCCAGGCAAGACTGCAGAGAGACAAAGGGGTTTGAGACTCCTGACTGATTAGAGTTGGCACAAGACTAAGATTGTGGAGAGTGAAAAGAACAGCTTGCAGAATCCTATTCCTGTTGTCCTTCCCTCTCCAAGGGATCTCATTCCTTAACAGCTATGTCTGCTGAGCTATGCCGATGGCGCTAGTCAAGCTCTCCACCAATATTTACAGAAGTTGTTTCAACTCATCCCAAACAGCATCTGTTGTGGCAGAGGCTGAGCTCCAGCCTCCAGAAGGTAGTGACTGTGAGTTCACAGCTTGGAGCAACAGGGAGTTGATGGGAAAGCAACTGCTGTTCCTAGGGGGAACATGCCACCTGCATAGGGTTGTACCATCTGGGGATGAGAGCTTCAGGCCTCCAGTTAGAGAAGGGAGGGGCTTCAGGAGGAGGGAGGGGGATAGTGCATGAGAAGAAATGAGGTGACACTGACACATCCCAAACTTCCACTTCAATACAGCTGGGACTGGTGTAGAAAAACTTACCATTTTCCTCTTCTCCCTGTGTTTGTTATTTCACTCTGTGAAACGAACAGACACACAGCAGTTAACAAAGAGCTACAGAAACAAAGTCTGAATTTCATCATAAGGGCTAGACAACTGTCACTTGTATGTGGCTCAAAGGAAGAGGGTCTTGTGGCTATTTGAGGTGGTAAGGTGGCAATACAAGCCATGGAATGGTCAAGGGAGGAAGTGTAGGGCTGGGGAGATTGTTAGTGGTTAAGGGCACTGTTTGGCACTTCCATGGGACCCAGGTTTTGATTCCTAGTACGCATATCTATCATTCCACTCTCAAGGGGTCTGATGCCATGTTTTGGCTTCTTTG